ATGCCTGTTGTTCGCAGGTTTGTCGGGTACGGTGGTCGAGCAGGAAGCCCTCCTGTGGTATACCGAACTGTTCTCCTGCGAATTACCCTGAGCTGGGCTGTCCTTTGAGTGACGGGCTGCCTGTAGCCAGTTATGCCGAGCTAGCCGACCCGAGGTCTTTGTGCCTCGAGGCGTCCGAAGAAGAATCAGTGCGTTCTTGCTTGGGGGTGGCCCAAGGTCCATTGAGAGGAGCTCGGGTCTCAAAAGGGGTCAGGGTGCCCCGAACTCGGGACCCCCTGAAGTGCCTTAACCCCGGGGAGGAGGTGTGGGCAAGGCGGCTTTCGGCGAGTAGTTTACCTGCCGAGTTGTCATGCTGAACTCGGTGGGACTTTCCCTCCGAGTTGTGCTCACGCTCGTTGGCGAAACCTGCCGCTAAGCCCACCGCTAAGGGGTCCGAGGTGATGGCGAAACCTGCCACTAAGCCCGCCGAGCCTGCTGTCAAACCCATCAGACCTGCCAGAGAAAGCGTTGCCAAGGCCAACACTGCTGCTGCTGGGGCTCATCCTGCCGAAACTGCTGCCGGGGCTCATCCTACCGAAGCAGCTGCCAAGGTCTCCAAGAGCTCTACAAATGATGTGGAGATGACGGCTTCCAGCTCGGAGGGTCAGGGGAGCCAAACCGTTCTGAACCCCCAGTGTAGCCTGAAGAAGAGTAAGCTGGCTACATACTCGGGGGAGGTCAACAAGTGGGCCGAACTCACTCCTGGTCAGCTCGGCGCCCGAGCCGTCACCCATACTATGGTGGTGAGTTCCCCTTCTCTCTCTCTTTTTTTTTTGTGGTCTCCCTCTTAACCGGTTCTCCTTTTTGTAGGTGAACTCCGCCATTCGCGCCTTGACCCTCCAATCGGATAGACATCTGAGGCAGGCTCTGGAGGCTGAGGAATCGTCTCGCGCAGCCCATACTGAGTTGAGGGCAGCTTGTTGTCAGGTTCACCGCTTGGAGAGCGACGCCTCAGCTCAAAAGAGTTTCATCGAGGTGTTGATGTCAAAGAAGGGAGAGTTGGCTCAGGATAAAGACAAATTAAGGGCCAAAGTGAATGGTCTCCAGGTCGGTCAGGAGGCTTTAGGGCTCGGGGTGAGCAGCCTCAAGGCTAAGCGGGATGCCCTGAGGCTTGAGGTACAAGGCCTCAAGGAGGCGAAGGGGAGACAGAAGCATGAAGTGGGGTACCTCCAGGAGGACATAAGGGAGAAGACTGCAATCTTCGAAGGTGCTCTCGAGGAGGCCAAGACCCAGGTTGTCATTGACTACGTCAACTCTTCGAGATTCGACGATGTGATGACAGAGGCCTACCGTAAGGGCTTCAAGCTCAGTCGGTGGCTGATCAGGCACCTCTACCTCGAGCTGGACACGAGCGCCATTACTACTTCGCGGATTACTGATGACATCGTGCGTCAGTCAAAAGACGACCCCGACTCCGAGGATGAAGGTCCCGAAGATGGAGCAAAGGATGCCGGTCCAGACATTGTCCCCGAGGGGGCCCCTGATAGAGGCGGCGGGCCCCCTAAGTAGTTCGCTCTTGTAACTTAGTCTTTTTCTTTTTTGAACTGTGAATGTACTTGTCCTGAGCCTTTGAGCTCGGGTAAAAATTCTTGTACCTGAACTCTCTTTTTAATGAAACATAGTTCCTTTTGAGTATCTCTTAGTGCAAAAATACTTCTAAATGTGAGTGGACTCCGAGCTGGTCAATTTAATGTATAGGTTACCCGAGCTATCAAGCCACTGAGTGAAGTTGTGTTACTTCGGGTTGCCCGGGTTACCCCGGATTATCGGGCTACCGAGCTGAGTAAGAGCAGCAAGGGTGTAGACACCGTAGGGTTCATACCCGAGCTGTCTTTCCCTTAAGGGTTAGGGATAACCAGGTTTTTGTCAGTTCGGCATTTTGTGGCCCTTAGGCTTTGGGAGGGATTCGTAGTCCGTTCCAGAATTTCCCCCATGCCGAAGTGGCAACTGGGGTTTCTTGTGGCCCTTAGGCTTAGGGAGGGACCCATAGTCCGCTCCTGGATTTCACCCAAGCCGAGGTGGCAACTGAGGTCTTCTTGTGGCCCTTAGGCTTAGGGAGTGGCTCATGGCCTACTCGATTTTTACATATAATATCGCCTCGGGTTGACAATATTCCATGCTCGAGGTACTTGTTTCCCTTCGAGGGTCTCGAGCTCGTATGTTCCTTCCCTGAGCACTCGTTTCAGTCGGTAGGGACCTTCCTAGTTGGATCCGAGCTTGCCARCGCCGGGCTCAGGTACCATAACTTTACGAAGGGCCAGGTCGCCGACGCGGAGGTTCCGCTTCTTGACCCTGGCGTTATAGTACCGAGCTACTCTCTGCTGGTAGGCTGCGGTCCTAATATACGCGAGGTCCCTTACTTCGTCGAGTAAATCGAGGTTGGTACGTAGCTCATCTTCGTTTATCTGATCACTGTATGTTTCTAGCCGCAACGTAGGTACTTCGATCTCTGTGAGGATAACTGTTTCGGTGCCTTAGGTGAGGTTGAAGGGTGTTTCTCCCGTGGTGGTCTTCTCCGTGGTCCGGTAGGCCCATAGGACACTGGGTAGTTCATCTGCCCACAATACTTTAGCTCGGTCCAGCCGTGCCTTTAGTCCGCGGAGGATGACTCTGTTCGTGACTTCTGCCTGGCCGTTTGCTTGAGGGTGCGCGACTGAAGTGAAATTCTGTTGGATCCCCATGTCTCAGCACCAGTCTTAAAACTTGATGTCCTCGAACTGCTTGCCGTTGTCAGAGATCAATACCCGAGGTAATCCAAAGCGGCACACGATGTTCTTCCAAAAGAAATTTTGGACATTTCGGGCTGTGATCGTTACGAGAGGTTCGGCTTCTACTCACTTGGTAAAATAGTCCACTGCTACCACTAAGAACTT